GGGTTCTCTCTGCCTCTATGTCTCTCTTTCTCTTTCTGTTGGCTAGATGAGGGGTGTCAAGGGTGTACACGACTCGGTGATATATCTCGATGTGCCGCATCTTTCCTGGATTAGCGGATATAAATTTGCTCTTTCTTTCGAGCCGGGACTGTTATTACTTTCTAATAAAGCGATATTGCTCTGCGGCGCGCCCGCACCCGCGCGGGCAAATGATGTGGAACGACGAGTTAACGAGGCGGTATGCCTCTTGTTCTCCCCCACAAGCTGTCTCGTCCTCCTCTCTCCCTCCCCCCCCCTCCCACCTCCCGTTGCATTCTTCTTTCTACCTGCCACTACATCGTAACGATCCGTTTGTTTTACTCGTCGACAGCCGAAGCATCAATCGCCGTACGACGATCTCGCAGGACGTTCAACTTTCAAACCGGTGGACGGTGTGTTCTTCGAAATCGGTGATGACGAGATTTGCTCGGTGAGCCATTAGCCAGTGCCATTCGCCAGCGTTAACAGTGGACACTGAAACGCTGTGATCACCTTCGGAGCGGAATTTTATTAATTTTCTTTATCGCGGAGCGAATTTTACCGAAACGATACATATCTTGAAGATCGGCCCTTGAATGTATTGCATCGAAAAAACAGATCTGTGAATCTACACGTAAATTATTTTTAAAATCTATGTGTCGTATCTTTGTATTTTTTTGGCGAATCGTTCTGAACTCAAGTTGCTCTAAAGAATTGGTATTATTCCGAATGAGATGTAAAAGTTATAGAAATAACAAGATTAGCAATACCATATATTTAAGGCATTTAAAGTATTACACACTTCTACACTATTCTACTATACCACCAAGTTCGACCTTTAAATGTATCATATCGAAATAGATCGGATCTGTCAGTCTACGCGTCGGAAAATTATTTTCAAAATCTGCATCGTATTTTTGTATTTCTTTGGCGAATCTAGGTGGACTAATTTCCGCAAAAAACCATTAAAGCCACGAATAACATCAAAACATTTAAAGTATTAAATCATACACTTCCTCTATTGTCACGGACATCAAAATCTTAGAAAAATCTCTGTGACATGTTGCTCGTGACTCTTGTTTAAACAAACTTCATCGCGTTTAACTGGCGGGAAGAGTTTTCATCGTCCGAAAAGATCGATGAACAATGCCAAGATAATTGAATGCTTGGACGGATAAAAAAAATTTCGGTGGCGCAACGTTGGCAAGCATGGCAGACTGTAAACTTAATTTATCGGCGACGATCGGTAGATATTCGCGCCGCGTTGATGAGGAAGTCGTTTCCGATTGGGAAAAATGGCGAAGGTTCAAGAGCTTATCGGGCCGAATGGATCTCGTACGTGCGAAGTTCGCTGAAGGAGGATAATTATATCGTGGCTGGAAAACTCGGAATCATTCGTGACCGTGACAGCTACCTCTTAAATCATAGGACGTGTGAAGTTTCTTATCTCGGCGCGACGATCGGCATGCCGATAAAATTTGCAAGAATTAATGATGCTCGGTGGGGCTTGGCGCGCATCGAACCTTCTTCCACGTACCTAATGCACGAGTCGTAGCGCGGCTAATTTCGTGCTTCCTTATGCGGCCGCACGCGGAAGGAACGATCATTATTGAACGAATAATCTTTCACGTCGTTAAGATGCTCGTATGTCATTATTTCGCCGATACAGTTTAACGATTGAAATTGCCCTGTTCTATTATTTTTCAACGAGCACCTCGTGTCTCTCGCGATTCCAAGATCTATCATTCTATGTAAATCGTTCAATTTTTCTTTAAACTTTATCATTCGACATTGGAAAAAATAAGAACGATCGATTCTCCGGATCTCCGATGTATAAATAAATAGAAGCTTACGTTTCTCATTGCGTGATAAACTGTTCCCTATTTCTTGCAATTGAACGGAACGAAACATGCTAATAAACCGTAACAGAGTTGATACGAGTTTCATACTTTGATCGTCGACGGTTAAAATTGTCTCTAAAAAGAGAGACAAGCTACGGAGTAATTTGCTCAAGTTCTCTTGAGCGGAACTTGATGTTCGATAAATGGAAAGATTACGTTCAGCCGATCGTAATAGATTTATCACGAACGTAACTAACATTTAATCTACTTCGCGTTCCCGATTTATCCGAGCCGTCTGATATTTCTAATTTTCTGGAATGGGTTTACTATACGTTAGCAAGGCCGGTACATTCAATTTATCCAATATGGTTAGCCAGTTGGCCGTAACGTTGCCTAGGTGTCTAGCTCTGTCGAGCAAATTGTATCCTTCCTTCGTCAACACGTTCGCCGAGCTGATTTCACGCTTCCTCGTGTAGGAAGGAATGATCATTACCGGAGTGTACAATCTCTCTCTCTCTCTCTCTCTCTTGCGTCGTGTGTTAAGACAGTTACGCACCATCATTCTTGATGATTAAGGTGAATCATACCCTCAGCGTTTTTATTTTCAACGAGTTTTTCGTCCGGACGTGCCGCGTAAAATTGTAACAAGCGGCGACCGATGACTGTAATTGAAATTCGCAATTTGCCGAACGACTCGTTACGCTATACCTTACGTTTTCAAGATCACATAAATTCCCCGTGTAATTGATTACTACGATTAATATCGCGTGTCGTGGCACACATTTCGTTCTGCCCGACGTTGCGTTCCGTCAAACCGAATTTAATGGCAGAACCTTTCGATGATCGATGCGTTTCGTTGGAGAAACGAGATGAATAATGAATAATACTCAAGCGAGCGAGAAAGAGAGACAGAGCATTGATATTTATAGCGGAGAACAGTTTTACGTTTATGTAAATCAATCTCAATACGATGCGCAGCCCTTGATATATAACGAATAAATGGACAAATTCTGCGGTGGTTCACTGGGACAGTAATGTGCTCATGAAATTAATTTATCCTTCGTAATTTGCTGACACGTCGCGTCGGGAGGTTTTCTACTTTACGCGTGGAATTGCGGCCCACCGATGATGTAGCGGTATTTCGACAACCTTGATACACATGCCCGACCGTCTCAATCGTTGTGCTGCATCGATAATGTCATCCATCTGGTTAGTAGGCGTGGTACGATCATTGATCATCATCTTGGTACTTACGTCCAAATGTTTCGACTACTTTCCCTCTTGTATGTACGTTTCGTTAATGCGTTTTTGAGAAATCGAACAAGCGAACAAAGATTATTAAAAAAAATATCCTTGATATTGATTCCTTGGTGAAAGAAAGAAACAAGCGGCTTATGATCGTATGCTGATATTCACAGATCTCGTTCTCTTGTAAATATCTTTGAAGAAAATATTTCTCTTCGTTATAGTACTGAAAGATTTCGAGATTCGACGTCCATGCGGCTGTGACTAACCAATCAAATATCTTTCATACTTTTTTCAGGATATGAAGCTCGTTTCACAATGGAAGCTAGTCATGCACTTTCCGCGTTGAACATTCAAAATTCCCACGAACGCGTGAAAATCCACCGACCATTCGCTCTGTAACGCGAATTTTCATTCTTCCCGTGAACTCGTTTCGCTCGTCAAGCGAGCTGTCTACGCTAGGCTAGCGTTGCAGGGCAGAATTGCGTTTCTAAAGGCGGTCGTGTGTGTCACGCATGCACCGCGTCGGCCGGTGACGAAGAGCCTGTTTGCTTTCCAAATTTTCCAGGCGACAGCTAGCATTACACGGTGAAAATAATAACAAGCAGCCGGGGTTGCCTGCTATCAACGCTGCATCGTGACGCGCCATCGCCAAGACGACGACGGTGCATCAACGGCGCGACCTGTTATGGCGCGAGCAAATTGCTTCCCGCCGCGTCGTAAAATCCGTTCGAGTGATTGATTAGCATGCAGCCGCGGCTGCGACCGGGTCTGCCCGACTGTCTCGTTCGTTTCTTCCCGTTCGTTCCTTTCCTTCTTCGACCCTTTAGAAAACATATACGAACACGAAACAACAACGTGCAAGCAAGCAAGCAACGTTCCTTCTAACGGCTCGCTGTGGCCGTGGTATCGACATTATCGGCATCAAGCATCTCTATTAGCCGCGGCGTGCACCATCCCGTGCACGGGGCTCGCCGTGTCCGTCAAATTAGAATCGGTCTTTACCCCTCTTTTTATCATTAACTCGCGGTGGAACGCGCGTGGGAGGAATTGCAGACGTAGCGAGAGGCCGACGCGAGTAATAACAGTGTTCTTGCTGTGACAGCTGATGCCTCTTAGTCGTGCCTAACCTCTCGTCTACCCGCCTCGCGTGTATACCTTCGCGGTCACGTATCGCGTTCGTCGGTCTTTAGCAGTTTCGTTAAGGCCACGTACCACACCGCCGTGATTTGATGATTGCGTTAGAACGGACAGCGAGAGGACAACGCTACTTTCGAAACTAGTTATTTCGATGGTAATGGTCGATCAGACTCTTCCGTTGTTAGTTTTTCTGAGCTCGTAAGCTTTCACTGTTCTTCGAGTGGAGACTTTTAACATTTGTTAACACTGCCGATCGAATCTCCATTCGCTCTCATTCACGCGAACGGGGCAGCGATAGATAACTCGGGGCAGATTGCCCAAACTCGCGTCATATAAACATCGGTAACGTTGGCTGTTTGTTCTCTGTCGAGTCCGCGGATAAATGGATCTCAACCGTATTGGTGTTTGCTCTGTAACGAACGGACTTTTGTTACTGTATAAAAGGCTCCTGGCGTTCTTTTTGCCAGTTAATGGCTCGATCGATGCCATTGAAAAGTGTCGACGGTAATGAGACACGTGTTCCTCAGGGGAGGGGGGAAGAAAAACGAAGAAGAAGAAGAAGAAGAAG